CCCCTCCTTTTTCCCTCCTCCTCCCTCCTTCCTCCTCCCTCCCCCCTTTCCCTTTCCTCTTCCTCCTTCCTTCCTTTTTCCCCTTTCCCTTCCCCCTCCTCTTTTTCCCTCCCCCTCTTTTCCTCCCCCTCTTCCTCCTCTTCCTCCTCCTCCTCTTCCTCCTCCTCCATTGCTTTTGGTCTCAAACTCCTCGAAATCAAAAAATTTGATCTTCTTAAAAACTTCCATCTGTGTTGAGCACATTTGGGAAAGAGAAGAGCCCCAATTTTGAAGGGAAGTCACATATTTTTTACCGTAGACATGCTGAAAAAGGACAACAAAAAGGTTTTTCCCACAATGCACCACGGGCCCCCCCCCGATTTTTTTTATATGGTGCCATGACCTGGGGGGCCCCCTTTTCCTCACAGGGGGCCCTACAGCTTTTCCCCTGCTTGATTTGAACCCGCTAAAATTTATGCGTTAGTCGTCAAACAGGGATCCCCTATGACGTACATATACGACCGCGACAGTAAAAGGGGTTTAAATTTTAAAAAAAAAAGGTCAGTTTTTTTTTTTCATTATCCCTGCGCCCCCAGGTTTTTTTTATATGATGCCACTGACCACCAGACCCTTCTCTCGATGTGGGCCTTCCGTTTTCCCCTGCTTGATTTGAAGTGCAGAATTTAGGTTTTTTTAAACGTCAAACACGGCCCCTTGTAAGACGTAATATCGACCTCGCAGTCAAAGGTTTAAAATTCATCTCAGTAACTTTTTTATTGAACTAATAAAAAATGATTCCAAATTCCAATTTTTTCTAAAATGTTTTATTATTAAAAAGGGCCCCTTCCCCTTTATTAACGAACCATGGAGCTGAATATTTTCCAAACCATGGGGGTGATAATGTATTGTTCCAGCCCAGGAGTGAAACATTCCCAACCATGGAGCTGAACAATTCATTCCAGATCATGGAGCTGAACTCTTCTCCGGCTGTGGAATGAACACCTAAAAATTTTTTTTCTATAAGGTTAAAGGGTTGATTACATCATATCATTTCATCTACACTTGCTGCTTCGTATCTGACTGAAGAAAACCCATTGTGAGGGGAAAAAAATTTCTCAATAAAAGGGGACCCAACGTTGCACATTGCCCTTTTTTTTTTTTTTTTTTTTTTTTTTATTTTTTTTTATTTCCAATTTGTGCACCATAAAAAGGTACAAAAAAAATACAGATAAGAGCGTTGCCAAAACCACTTATACTATGCATAGCTTTTCGGGCTGGCTTAAAATTAACTTAAAATTAACTAAGCAAAGTTATTATTATTATTATAATCAAAAAGAAGGCTAAAACCCTTTTACAAGGATATACAGCCGTCTAAGCAAAGTGAAAACATGATAAAACATTTAAAGTAAACAATAACATAAAGCACAAGGAGTATTTCAAAGACAGGTCATATGGGTTTCATTCTTAGGGAGTGATTCTGTTAGGTAGTGTATTTAAAAAAAAAATAAAGTTAATTGGGTTTTAGGTTTAACATTTTTGTGATATAATTGTGAGAAACATTTAAGATTACAATTTATAATGTTCAGTTATTCATTTTATTTGGTTTTTGGGTGAGTAAGTAATCTTTAGAAGAGACTTGAATTTTTAAACGGTTGTGTTTCTTTTTATTTACAGGAATAATTCCAGTTTTAGGGCCTTTTTTGTGCATTTTTTTTGTAGTGTGAGATGGACACGGGAACATCAAAGAGTGATCTGTGCCTTTTGTTTAAAGGGCATGGTTTGTTTAGGTTGGGAAGGAGTGTTTGAGGGGAGGGTTTAAAACAGAGTTAAGTGTTCGATGGTAACAGGTGCGTAATAAGTTGGATGTTTTGTATGGTGATAGGTTTGGGGTATTGAATATTGGGGGAGTGTGTGTGTAGTGGAATTTGTTATCTTCTAACTGCAGCCTTTTGTTGGGTAATTGTGGTCTGAGATGGTTAATTGTTGTTGAGCCCCATGCACAAATTCCATAGGTTGAGATAGGGGTAAATAAGAGAGTGATATAGGGCCAGGAGGGCTGACTGTGGAACATAGTACCGTATCTTCGATAGTATGCCTACAGTCTTGGAAATTTTCTTAGAAATTTGATGTATATGTGTATGAAATTTGAGTCTATTTATCAAGGTGGATTCCTAAGAATTTTCCCTCTGTTAGTTTTGTGATAGGTGATCCATTTATCATTATGTTAAGAGGGACATCTGTAGCTCTGTTACCAAACTGAATGAAGTAGGTTTTGTCAATGTTTAGTGTAAGTTTGTTAGTCCTCATCCAGGTAGATATTTTCTGTAATTCGGTATTTACAGTATTGGCTAGCGTGACTGGGCTCGGGTGAGAGAAGACGTATGTAGTGTCATCTGCAAATAGTGTGGGTTTGAGTAATTGCGAAGCATTTGGAAGGTCATTTATGTATAGGAGAAAGAGAAGAGGGCCAAGGACACTTCCCTGTGGGACACCAACTGTAATTGGTTGTGCAGAAGAGTTTGCCCCATTTGCGTACACATATTGGCTTCTGTTGCTGAGGTAAGACTTGAGGTAGTTGAGGGAGTGCCCTCTTATACCATAGTGTGACAATTTTACGTGGAGCAAGTCATGGTCAACTGTATCAAAAGCTTTACGTAAGTCAATGAAGATCCCCAGTGGGACTTCTTTTTTCTCTATTGCAGTGTATATATGTTCTTCAATTTGTGAGTATTTTATACAATTTTCAACAAAACTATGATGCTATGTCTTAAACCAATCTAGTTTTTCCTATACTTTTCCATTCTTAATGCCTATGTGACTTCCCATCCATAAGTGGATGGGAAGTCGCATGGGCAATGAGTGTGAAATGATAATGAAATAAATGAATTTTTGGCAAAAGTGATTAAGAGCTAAGCACAAACAATATAATTTACACACCTGAAATTTCAAAGGCATTTTTGTGTTGATCATTGTCCTCCAGCTTGCTTACATGTATACTGCTTAATGGGTAACTTCCCTGAAAATAAAAATAGCTTTGAAAACAATATTTATTCTCAAAGAATGAACTATATACAAAAAATTATTTCTATTAAGTGGAGTACAGAAAGCCCCTTATTTGCAAAACATTCTGGGCAGCCTTAAAAACTATACAGCCACTGCTCACTTAGTGACATTCTCGTTTACCGATCACTCGGACTTATGACAGGCTCTCTGACCAGTATGCATACCTATATAATGTATATTAAAGCTGATTTCCTCGATTCTGTTATTACAATATACAGTACACTATTGCATAAGCATTTAAAAATATGCTAAAAATGTAAAAAATGGTGCAAAGGTGATATTAAAACAAAATTAAAAGATGGTTGACACAAACCCACTAAAATTATAGTATACTCCTTGCTTAGCGACAAATTCGTTTACTGACGTGGTCTTAGGAATGAAACTGTCATTAAGTGAGGAGAGGCTGCATTATGATTATAAGTATACAAGACTCCATGGGAAAGTGGAACAAAATTCTTCCTCCATCAGCTATGCGTGTCATAAAAGACAACTAAAATGCCAGGAGCAAGGGGCTAGTAACCCCTTCTCCTTCTCCGAGTGACATCATTTAGGGTGTGACACCACAGAACCTCTAAAGAAGGTGACACTAATGCCCAAAACAGTGCTGCACCAACATAGGAGAAGAATTCTTCATTTCTATATAGCCTTTTATATATTAACAAGGTACAAATAAGCCTATATAGGGAAAATCATTGATTCTGATGATGTGATAGATGATTTTGCATAATTGAATTCAAGGAAATGTAAGATCCGATTCACCGAGATGTTACCTGTACTCAAGGTCAAATCAGAACTAGTGTTTCTCTGATATTCCAATGTTTTTCTTTATTTTTCAAGTTTTTTTTTTTTGGCATTGTTGAAGATAAATAAATGTAGGGTCTGTTGCCTGTACTCAAAGTGGTATTTGAGTTTATGTTTCCTCAATATTAATACGATTATTTATTTTATCATTAATAAAGTTGAGAAGTATTCTCCTGTTCAGTTTATGGCCCTTAAACATTCTCATTGTTAAACAATAGTCACTGGTCAAGCAGTAGCGACATAACTGGAGTTTACCTCCCCCCCATCCCCCCACCCTTGAATTTCATGGGGGTGACACCAAAGATGCTGCCCCGGGTGACACCAGAGATTCCACCCAGGGTGATACCAACTCTTGCGATACAGGTTGAAAGAACTGTTCAGCATAATTACTGTTAGGGTAACATTAGGGAAAGTAGGTGTGTTTTAATAGTAGCTTTGATATGGTTGGCAGACAGAGAGATTCTGGAGTTTTCAGATAGAGTGTTCCAAATTTTAAGACCTTTTATACACACTAAGTTTTTATAAAGATTAAGCTGCATGTGGGGAATAATCATAGAAATTTTTGTGTCTAGTATTATTCATATGCATTCTGTTGCAAATACTGAGAAAGTGTGTCAGGGCAGGGCTGATATTAAAATTTATTGTCCTGCATATGTAGTATGCACAGTAGTTGAGTGAATTTTATGTATATTAAGTAGATTTAGATCTTTGAAGAGTGGGGGAGTGTGATGTCTGGCATAACATTTAATTAGACATTTGTAGCTCTGCTCCCAAACATTATTCAGGTCTTAGTAGTCCAGGTTGATATCTCGAAAAGTTCTTCATTAACAATGTTGTTGAGGGAATTCAGATTTGGGTGGAGATGACAAAAGTTGTGTAATTTGAAAAGGGAACAGGTCTAAGTTGCTGAGATACATTTGGAAGATGAATGATGTATATGAGGAAAAGCAGAGGGCCAAGGGGGACACCTGTGTTGACAGGTCTTACTGATGAGGTTGTGCCCTTGATAGAGGCGTACTGATATCTGTTGGTATTTAGGACTTCATATCTGCAAATGCATGACCTATGATACCATAATACTCAAGTCTGGGGTACAGGATGCTGTGATCTACTAAATTGAAAACTTTTCTAAGATCAATAAAGAAGCCAAAGGGATATTCATTCTTTCAAGAGCTGTATAAAGGAAGTCTAGGACTTTTATGACTGCATCATTTGTGCTTTGATTTGGTTCAAAACCAAACTGGCAGGGGTTGAATATACTGAGTGTATAAAATATTGAATATATTGAGAGTATAATTTATTGTGGATTAATTTTTCAAAAATTTTAGATAACAATTATCTATAGTTATTTACATCTGTTGGGGCTTCACTTTTGTGTATTGGAGTGACCCTTGCTACCTTGAGTACTGTTGGGAAAGTGTTGATTTCTAGTGATTGTTAAACAATGCTATAATGGCAGGTGAAAGTGTTGATTTCTAGTGATTGTTAACCCTTTGAGGGTTTCGGACGTACTAGTACGGCTTACGCGCAGGGTTTTTTGACGTACTAGTACACATAAATTCTAGCACCGTCAAATCTCGCAGGAAAAGGCTGGTAGGCCTAGATGTAAGAGAATGGGTCTGTGTACACGGTAGAAAAAAAATCTGGGACCCAGTGGTGCATTGTGGGAACGCCATCTTAGTAAACAATGTCCACCATGCCTCACGGTAAGAAGCTCCTCACTCCTCGGCGAATTGGGACACTTTTGTTCCCCAGTGACAGTTCTAATACAGATGGAAGTGCCAGTGAAGATGAGTTTCAAGGTTTTGGTGAGGTTTTGACTGAAACTAATGATCATAATATCATTAATAGTGAGGAAAACCCAGACGACCCTCAGCCTTCCACCTCTGGTGCTGGGCCATCTTGTTCACGTTCAGTTGTACCAGAATCCAAGAGGAAACTTCTATTTTCCCAAATCCCAGACTCAGATGAGATGTGTGATGATAGTGATAGTGAATATGAACTACAAGCTCTTCAAACTAGTTCCAGTACTGATAGTGAAGTGCAATATTCCCCAGTGAAGCATCAGTATATACGATGATATATGCGCTCTGGTAGTGTGCCATATGCTATTCCAAGGGGAAGGAGTGCATCTTGGAGTATATCCCGTGGCTGTACAACAGGAGCAGACAGTGAAAATGATGATGATACTGTTGCAATTGGGATGGAAAATGTGCGTGGTGGTAGTGGTGCAGGTGGTGGGGCACCAGCAGTGGGCCATGCTGCCACCCACGCTGCCACCCACACTGCTGCCTCAGCTGATCTACAACTAAGGCCACCATCCCCCACCCACCCACCACACCAGCCTCCACAACCACAACCTCCACAACCACAACCACCTGTCATTGTCCAGTACCCACCAGCAGACTGCACCTGGGATTGGCAGGAAGCTGTCAATTTTGTTCCAAATCCCCACCAGTTTGATGATAGCCAAAATGGAATACGGCCATCTTGTACACTTGGGAACAATGCCACTGAACTGGAATGTTTCGAGTTATTCTTTGACGAACCCCTGATGGAAAGTATTGTCATGGAAAGCAACACATACTACGAGTACACCATAGTAAACACATTACTTACACCAAAATCACGTCTACACCAGTGGAAGGAGGTAACTGTGGTTGAGATGTATCTTTTCTTTGCCACAATAATGCTTATGCCACATGTGTATAAGCACAAAGTGAAATCATACTGGTCAACAGACCACCTGATTGCAACCCCAGGTCTCAGTGATATAATGCCAGTGAATCGATTTGTGCTAATGTTACATATGCTTCACTTCTCAGACCAAACCAGGCCTGACAGAACTGACAGGTTATATAAGATTAGGAATGTGTTTGTGTATCTGAAAGAGAAATTCAGTACGCATTTTTATCCCTTCAGGAAGCTTGTAATTGACGAGTCTTTGATTCTGTTCAAAGGAAGACTCTCTTTCAAGCAGTACATACCAAGCAAAAGGAAACGCTTTGGTATAAAGTTGTTTGTGCTTTGTGATTGTTACAGTGGTCTGGTATTGGATATTATTGTGTACACTGGAAGTTATACATTGCAAATACCAGGAAGTTATTTTGGGGATCTCAGGTGATGTGGTTAGAACAATGATAGAACCATACCTTGGTAAGGGGCATATATTATATACAGATAACTGGTACACAAGCCCCTCACTCACTGATTTTTTTGCGAGTGAACATGACAGATGCGTGTGGCACAGTGCGCGCAAATCGGAAACATATGCCCAGGTTTGACACTGGCACTCGTAGAGGTGAGGTGCAGGCGTTTGCTGCCAATGACATCATGGCATTTCGGTGGCATGACAAACGAGATGTCACACTGTTGTCATCAGTTCACCCTAATGAAATGGCAGACAGTGGCAGGCAGCATAGAGAGAGCAATGAACCCATTCTAAAACCTGCAGCTGTGATTGATTACACCTTCAACATGCATTCAGTGGACAAATGTGACATGCAGATTGGGTTTGCTGATTGTGTTCGCAAGAGTTATAAGTGGTACATCAAACTGTTTTTCCATCTTCTGGACATTTCCATGCTCAATGCTTATAATATGTATAAGATGAGGACCAGAAACAAACCGCAGTATGGCAAATTCTGTTTGTCTGTCATCAGACAAATAGTATTCAAGTACCAAGGAACAGCACCTGCAATTGACCGCCCACCAAATTATCAACAACTACCTTATCGTCTGAAGCATGGTGATCACTTCCTGGTAAAACTGCCTGCTACTGCTTTCAAGAAAAAGGCTCAGAAGAGGTGTTACGTCTGTGCACATACAAAAAAAACGCCCACAACAACGCAGAGACACTCGTTTTATGTGTGAGGAGTGTAAAACACCACTGTGCATGACACCATGTTTCAAAGACTTCCACAGGCTGCAGAACTTCTAGAAACATGTCCTGTGACTGTATATGTGTATATAAAATATAGAAAAATAGTAATAAACAACATTTCATATCGTTTGTTTATGTAAATATTTTCTATAAACAAATAAAAGACAACAGTGTTTACGCCCTTATTGTGTAGTATTGAAAAAGAAATAACTTACAAAATAATGATCATGTTGGCCTCAGAGGCCATAAAAGTTACTCAGAAAAAGAAA